ATCCCAGCTACTCGGAAGGCTGAGGTGCGAGAATCGCTTGAACTCAGGAGACGGAGGTTGCAATGAGCAGAGATTGTGCCACTGTATTCCAGCCTGAGCGACAAGGACTCCATCTCAAAATAAATAAATAAATAAATAAATTTTTAAAAGTGGCTGGGCATGATGGCGTGTGTCTGTAGTCCCAGCTACTCAGGAGGCTGAGGTGGGAGGATCTCTTGGGCCCGGGTAGTTGAAGCTGCAGTGAGTCATGATTGTACCACAGCACTCCTGCCTGGATAACAAGAGTGAGACCCTGACTCAAAATAAAAATAAAATAAAATGACCACAAATACTTGTCTCCTAGATTATTCAGTTTTTTAAAAAAGCCATACAAATATTGGGCCTAGTGGCTCACGCCTGTAATCTTAGCACTTTGGGAGGCCAAGGCGGGTCAGGAGTTCGAGACCAGCCTGGCAAACATGGTGAAACTCCATCTCTACTGAAAACACAAAATTAGCTGGTCGTGGTGGCACACGCCTGTAATCCCAGCTACTTGGGAGGCGGAGGCAAGAGAATTGCTTGAACCCAGGAGGCAGAGATTGCAGTGAGCTGAGATTGCACCACTGCACTCCAGCATGGGCAAAAGGAGCAAAACCTTGTCAAAAAAAGAAAAAGAAAAAGAAAGGAAAAGAAAAGAAGGAAAGAAAGAAAAGAAAATCCATACAAAAATGATCATTCGGTAGAGGATTACATTCACATGCATTATTTCCTACATTATTTTAAGAATCTACTGTTGGAGACACTATGATAAAATTACTATATGTAAGTTGAATCCCTTCTAGCTGGACTAAATGGAATGTCTCATATTAACAGAGTAGAATAAAATCTCATTTAGTTGGTATCACTGGAAAAGAAACTATTTCACAAAAATAAACTCTCTTGGTAACTAGACCTAATCTCAATTTTAAAAATATTAGTAATTTATTATTTGACTGGCATGTGGCAATTTAATAATTGTTATGTTTTCCTACCTTTTAAAGTAAAACATACAGAATATAATTCAACATTTTCTTCATTATTTTAGTATCTACTTCAAAACTTTATTACTTGATAACTCTAATTCTACAATCTTGCCATTTACTTTTGGCAATGAAAAAAAATCAACACTGCCAATATCTCTAAATGTCACAATACTGCAGCACAGTATTATCACTGAGAGGTAAAGTAACTTCGTTTAAATTATATAGGGCAATGTAGCTCCCATTACCACTACTTATGGTAAAAAAAATGGTTCCCAAACTTGAGGATGCATCAAAGCCACTGGAAGACTTATTAAAACACCTTTTGCTAGGCCCCAGCCCCAGAGTTCCATATTCAGTAGGTGTGGGGTGAAGCCTAGTAATCTATATTTCCAAGAAGTTCCCAAAAGGCACTGATCTTCTGTTGGGAATCACACTTTGAGAACCACTGGGCTAACCCACTGGATTTTCCCTCCTTGTCTTCTCTGTAGCATCTGATGATGATAAAACTTCCACCTTTTTGAAGTGTGAAATCAATTTTAGTAACAATCCAATTATTTTGCCAGGTTTAGGAACAACCACTACATATTTTGTTTCCTAGGGTTCCATCCCAAGCACTCTTGTGTACTCCTTGGCCAGTGTCATTCTCTTTCCTTTGGATTCAACAATCTAAAGAAATAGTTATCAAAAAAAGTCTAAGTCCTTAGACTCTCAAAGGATTAAAGGTGCCAAGAAGCTTTGGGAACATGATTCTTCAACTTCCTTCCTCATCCCCTGAATTAGCTCTTCATTCTATATTCCTTGTTTCAACTGATGGCACCTTTTTATTTATTTATTTATTATTTTTTTAATTTTTTTTTTTTTTGAGACAGAGTCTCGCTCTTGTTACCCAGGCTGGAGTGCAGTGGCGTGACCTCGGCTCACCGCAACCTCCGCCTCCTGGGTTCAGGCAATCCTCCTGCCTCAGCCTCCCGAGTAGCTGGGATTACAGGCACGCGCCACCGTGCCCAGCTAATTTTTTGTATTTTTAGTAGAGATGGGGTTTCACCATGTTGACCAGGATGGTCTCGATCTCTTGACCTCATGATCCACCTGCCTCGGCCTCCCAAAGTGCTGGGATTACAGGCTTGAGCCACCGCGCCCGGCCCAGCACCTTTTAATTAACCTAATTGCACAAATTAGAATCATTCTTGATTCCCCTTTTTGTTCACCCTCACCATTCAGTCATTAAGTTTTGTCAGTTTGACCTCATAAATAGCTCTTGAGCCTGGTAATTTCTCTCTCCATCCACTGCCAGAGTGTGTCTTATTCACTTGTGTGAATTCCAAAAGCCTTCCTAATGGGTTTTTGGCTTTGACCCGTCAGATCCATTCTCCACAATGCAGTCATAGTAATCTTTCTGAAATAAAATTATAATTATGCCATTCCTATTAAAAAATCCTTTAGTGCTTCCTCATTGCTTTCAGGATAAAATTCAAACTCCTTGGCATGACTAGAGGTTCTCCACATTCTGGTCCATTCCCCTCTTCAGCCCCATCTCTTGACTTTACCTCCTTTTATTTCTGCACTCTAGCCATGCAAACTACCTTCAAATTCCCAAACACATTATCTTTGCTCATGACTTTATAATGAAGTACAAGCTCCTATTTCTCCTGGGTATCATGCCCCCCTCTTTTGGGTGGCTAATTCATAATGTAGATTAAATAACACTGTAAGAAGTTCTCCCTGCTTTCTCGTCAGCCCCTCTCTTTTGGGTGGGCTACTTCTATTATTTTCAGAATGCCACATTCATGTGTCTATCACAGTCTTCATCTCATTATAATGACTGATTTATTTTTTAATCTATTTCTTCCTCCATCTGATACCATCTCCCTGCTATCCCCAGCAATTTTACACACAGTACACTCAAGAGGCAGAATGGTTTAATGGGCAAGGTACAGAACTGTATTTGTGTTCAAGTCCCACCTTGGCCTCTCATTAGCCCTATGACGTCAGCCAAATAGCAAAAGCCAAATAAAACTACAATACAGAAGAAGAGGAATTTATGCAATCACACTGTGATTTTGAACATATGGATTTACTTTTTTAGTCTTTCACTTCATTTGTACAATGATCATTTGTTGGAACAAATGATCTCCAAAATGCCTTTCAACCCTAAGAACTTATGGCTAGGATTAGCAGCCCTATCCTGGATAAAAGACATTTTAAAGGTCTATGAGAGTTGTACAACTATAGTATCATAAATATTTGAAACTGCAGAAGTAAAGTCAATTGTCAGGTTACTTAATTGTACAGATTCTTTTCAAAGTCTAATAGGATTTTTCAGATTTGGTTTGATTTCAACTAGAAAGAATTTTTAGGCCAGGCGTGGTGGCTCACGCCCGTAATCCCAGCCCTTTGGGAGGCTGAGGCAGGCAGATCATGAAGTCAGGTAATCAAGACCATCCTGGCCAACATGGTGAAACCCTGTCTCTACTAAAAATACAAAAAAAAAAAAAAAAAGCTGGGTGTGGTGGCACGCACCTGTAGTCCCAGCTACTCAGGAGGGTGAGGTAGAAGAATTGCTTGAACCCGGCAGGTGGAGGTTGCAGTGAGCCAAGATCACGCCACTGCACTCCAGCCTGGTGACAGAAAAAAAAAATTGAAAAAATCTGTTAAGTAGCAGTAAAAATGTAACTCCCTTTAAAAAAATCTGATTTAAAGAGAAACATTTTATTATGTTATTTTTCCTGAATTATCATCAACTTACAGAGTTTCAGTCCTATGTATTAATACAGTATTTTATATCTGAGGAGGAAGGTCTTACAAAGCATCCACATTGATTACTGTCTTTGTTACATAAAGAACAAACAGTAACTTTTGCTCATAGCAGCAAATAATACATTATGCTCAAGATAACTGCAAATAAGAGAACATTTATGGCACTTTAAATTAAAAAAAGAAAAAGAAAGTCTGACCTTGAACAGAAACAGCTCATTCTTTTTCTGCTTCCAAGACCTCTTTTACCATTCAAGGCCTTGAGATAGGGAGCAAAGTATGCAGGGAACATTTTTATATAGTCCAGTGAAAATTGTAAAAAGGGGAAAACTATTCATGTAAATGTTATGACTGGTTGTCTTCAATGCATCAACTAATCTCTAATCTCTCAATTCTGAAATAATATTTTTATTCATAGCACATTTTATGTCATAGAGCACATTTCTGATCCTTGTAATAATCCTGTGAGATAGTCAGGGAAGACGTTATCTCTACTTCACAGATGAAGAAACTGAGTGGTGTGAATATGACAAGTCACAAAGTTTTAAAATGTCAGCGCTTCGACTATTAATATACCTTATTAATCTTATATATCACCAGAATTCAATATTTAGTGGTTACTTAATAAACATGTGGCAAAGGAATTAATCTAAATTTTCTGGTTCCTAGAGACCTGTGTTCCTTTTATTAACAGTTTAGTAATTCTCCTCCAATTGGTATGATAGGTTTGTATCTGAGTCAACTAAATTACTAACCCAAAATCAGGAATGTTACTTAATTGAGGCCTGGCGCAGTGGCTCATGCCTGTAATCCCAGCACTTTTGGAGGCCAAGGCAGGCAAATCACCTGAGGTCAGGAGTTCGAGACCAACCTGACCAATGTGGTGAAATCCCATCTCTACTAAAAATACAAAAATTAGCAGGGCATGATGCCTCGTGGCCGTAGTCCCAGCTACTTGGCAGGCTGAGGCAGAAGAATCACCTGAACCTGGGAGGTGGAGGTTGCAGTGAGCTGAGATCGTGCAACTGCACTCTAGCCTGGGTGACAGAATGAGACTTTATCTCAAAAAAAAAAAAAAAAAGAATTGTTACTTAATTGATGTAATTTAGGTAGCCAGATCTTCTGGACTGAAAACATAAATTTACTATCTTTTCACCTACACATTTCATAGGAATACATGTAAAATTACTTTCTTTGATAGAATAGGCCAAGAAAAATTCCTATAAACAAGCACCTATTAATTACCTGTGGTGCAAGAAGAGGTAGCCTAATATAAGCCAGAAGTTTACTTAGATCTTTCCGTCTCTGTTCCAAATCCTGACGGACCCAAGTAAGAAGTGCATTCAATATTGTCTCCTCATTAGGAATGTTCATGTCATCACTAGCCAAGAGCTTTGCAATTTCACTGGCTGGTAATAATACAAATTCCTGGTTTCTGATTACTTCCATGAAATGCTCCTAGAGGGAAGAAATAGCAGATAAACAATATTTCTGTGTAATTGCGACCATCACAATTTACTTAGAATAAAGTAAAAGTTTTTTTTGTTAGATACCAAAACACAATGTATATTTTAGACGTTACAATGTATTACTATTTGTTAGGAAACAAACACAGCAGAGAAAAAAAATTAAACTGCAATTATGTTGTTAAAGATATATAAGTAGGATTAAAGTGCTTAAAAAATTAAATGTAATAAAGTATCATTTATTACATTTAAAAAATGGACCTGGGACATTGAAGTATTGCTTCACTCAAGTTAGGAAATACTTCTGGCAATTCTTTTGAAGGAAGAGAGAAAAAATGAATTAGACACTGAGAGGTATGATACTCTGACACCAGAAGTGGTTGGATTTGTGGGTGCTGAAGAATTTGGCCAGTGGTAGAGCCAAATACCTAGAAAGCCTGGTTACTTCTCTTACTCAGAAATGGCCTTCAGGATGGCTAGATTTCCCAGAACCATTCTAGACCACAGAAGTCTTCTTAGATCCTCCCTGGAATGAGTATCTGTCCTTAGGGCTATACTACAACCAAATTGGTCTTTAAGGTCGTTTTAATGTTATTTATAAGACCATCTAGGATTTTCGGTCTGTTTTCAAATTTTTAATCTCTTCTAAGGGTCTGTTTTTAAATGTTTAATCTCTTCTAATATAATTTATTTACAAAGTTCTTTTCATCTCATAGGAAAAAGGACCAAAGGGAAAATAAAAATAGTGACCTATAATGCCCTGGGATCAGGACATTAGACTGAAGATGACTCAGTCCTGGCCTCACATTAGAATCAAATCCTCTATAATTTGAAATGGGACATAAAAATGCCATTAGGTGTGAGATGACCCTGATAGGCTATTATGCTAACTAATCTGAAGAGAAGGCAAACCATCTGATTTGAAAGGTTATAAGTCTTAATGAATGGATAGTTTACATAGTTATAATATAAGTGCAAATGCTAGACACATATTGTCCCTTAATGTTTTTTTCATACTTCTGATGTATTATTGCTGTCTCAGCATGCAGAGGTTTACTAAAGAAGGAAGCTAAGGCTGTTTAAATCAGAGCTAGAGATAAAGACTATCAATAACTATCTTCTATATTAAAATAAAAATTATATTTTCCATATAGCCTGTGGTAACCTGAATGAGGTACTGATCTAAAATATATGTTAGCTTGACATTCCTATCAGTAGAAGTTCTAAAGGGGAAAACCATTCATGAATAATTAACGAAGTTCAATTGCTTCAATTTATCATGATTTGTTCAAGGATGTCCAAATGAGTCTATTTTAAATGATAGATTATCATTTTCAGAAACATATTTTCATAAAACTTCCATGCTAGAATGCCTTGAAGCAAAAGGTTCTACTGAACTGCATACTGAGATTATTTTGGTAAACACATAGCAAGAGCTACAAAAATGCTGAAACTCTCAACCCAGTTATCCCACTTATAGTTTAAACCTTAATAAATAATTCATAAGCAAAAAAGCTAAATACCTAACAGTGATTCTCTGTATTATTATTTATAATGGAAAAAAATGGGAAGTAGCCTACATGTTCAGTATAGGGAGCTGTATATTAAATAGGCATTAAAAATTTCAAAGGCAAAGTTCATGTAGCTACATATATGGAAAGATACTTAAAATGTTAAGTGAGTTTCTGAAGAAATTGAAATAATAATATATATTTCCAATTCCTTAAACATATATAATATAATTGACAGATTTATACATTAGTATAAATATGCTGTACTTTCAAATGACATTAATTGCATTTCATCAGTAACAGAAGGCTATCATGTAAATATTCACTTAACGAATTATTTGTTGATATATCTATTTCAGAATAATGTCCATTCCATTCTAGTATAATTTATATTAAGTGAAAACTGAGTTTTTTACAACTTATGAAATACTACTGAACTCAAAGTTAAACACAAAGTACTTTTCAAAAGTATTAATTTGGTTTTGAAGCAGCTACTTTCACAGATTTCAATGATTTTTATAAGTCTTCTAGATTGAGAAAGACAATTTTAAGTTTTAAAATTAAATGTTTATATTTGTGTCATAAATTCGAAATGACATTAAATAGTTGTAATGATACAAGCAGTCTTAAGACTCTTTTAGAGGCTAAATGACTTGCTCCAGGTCATGTTCAGTGGCAAGCAGAATGAGAAAACAGGTTTCTAGATTCATGGATCCTGGGGAGGAGGACTCATCCTTTACAACTTGTATTCGCACAGGATCGGTGAACAGTCCCAGTCCACCATTCACTGATTGAACTCCCTGGCATGGTATTATGCTTTATATTTTAAATCCATATTATAATACACACAACTATCATGCTACCAAACACTTGCTAGCATTGTGCCCTTTTAGAATAGTTTTTAAGCAAATGAAATTATGGAGAGATTTATTTAAATTGAAGATTGAATTTTGCTATACATTTTCATTTGGTTCCCATAGCAACAATTCAAATCAGGCAATCTGCCTCTAAATTACTTATTGTTATTAGAATTCAATTTCATGTCTCTGTTGAAACTGAATAATGTTAAATAATGGCCTTGAGAAAAAAAATCTACCACAACTAATTGACTACGAAAATAGCTTTAAAAACATCCAGCTAATTTAAATTTAATTTCTGTGTAAGTGTTAAAGCAGCAATCATGCCTCTACTGTAAACAACAGGAGTGACCTAAATGCATACAAATGGTTTCACCTGAATAAAATTCCTTCCCAGAAAAAAGATAATTATTCAAATTATAAACTGATTATAAAGAAAAAAATCTAACTTTATATTCATCTCATTCAAAAAAGTAGTTAAAATTGCAGGTGTATGGTTAAAATGAGAATCTACAAAGAATGATAAAAGACTAAGGGAAAAAAAGCATTTCAATGGACTTAATTTTTTAAATGTCAACCTAATAGCATGCTAGGGCTATATATTATTGTCCTGTTGTACAATCTCTTTATTTTACCAGTTGAGGCTCTGTGACTATCATAAACAAGAAATATTCCTGAGAAATGATTACACCACAGGGAGGAAAACCAGTTATAAAGGCTGTGGTTTTGTGAGTGTTTTTGTTCCCTCCCATAAATTCTTACTGTGTTGGATAGAGGAAATCTATGTAATGATCATGACAACAATGGAATGAGACACACTGACTGGATATATGATATGCCAATCAATGTTCTGAGTGTTAATCAGAACATCTAATCCTCACACCAAGCCCATGAAGTAGACAGAATTGATCTTCCCAATAGTTTGTAAATATCTATTCTTAGAATTTTTCCAAATATCTATTTCTCTAATGAAAGATTCCTAAAGCATTCTCAATCTCTCAATGGAATGATGGAGGAGGGGGTAGGCAAAATACATTTTCTAAATGTTGACAAAACTAGTGATATCCATAACTATATACATGTATGTGAATGTTTACATTTTTCCTTCTCTTAGAAACTGTATTGCCCTAAACTGAAACATTTAAAGCAACAGTCTTCAGTCATTGCCCAGGAAGAACTAACTGCTACAGTGTGGCAACATGATAATTCCTTAAAAATCCACACACCCTCCCTTGCTTGTACCCCTCTACTGCTAAGACCACAGAGGCTGGTTCTAACCCTATGCGCTCAACATGCCCTTATTTTCTTACTATCCTAGGTCCATCCATTTTTTAACTTTTATTCAGGGGTACATGTGAAGGTTTGTTATACAGATATACTTGCGTCATGGGGGTTGGTGGTACAGATTATTTCATTTTATTATCCTTCAGGCTACTAAATCAGAACCTCCTCTATGATTTATTGAGCATATAATTTGCTATAATGAATAAAAACATCATTCTACATGGCTGTAAATAGTTTATACATAGTCAGATTTATCCTTAATAAAAAGCCTCTCATTTGTCCTCTACCAATATGTTGCAACCTCCGCCACCAATTTCAATATCAATGAATATGTGAACAATCCTGAAGAATTTCATCCATGTGCAGCAAAGTAAAATGTTTGGGGAGAGTTCTGTTTTAAAAAGCAGCAAATCTGAAAATCTTAATGAAACAGTCCTAGGCCACTGTTCCACTTCCCAGTGACTGTAATTACTTAGGGCTTGATTCATATGCCCAGGAGAAGTATTACTTGGTGCTTTCCCATTATAACTCAATGAAAATATGACACACTAGGCAATGAAGCTCAGTCTCAAGACACGTGGCAGAGCCATGGGAAAACAGCAACATGTAGATAAGCCTGCAACAATAAGAAATATGCATATGCAGGATAGGCCTTCTCACCTTCAAAAAATACATACCATAGTATAATTGTGAGCCACTTTATGCAAATCTGTACAACCTTGAGCATCAGCAAAAGAACGAATTCCAAGACAGTTGGATGGATGAAGTTGTTTCATTAAAAACTTACAGCATGCTTCTACAACCTGCGAAAGCTGAAGAAGGCAAGCTGTAGATAACAGGGACTCAATATTATCTTCTTTTAATTCAAGGCGGCCTTAATGATAAAAAGAAATCCCATTAGCTATGGAACTACATTAACCTTATTTTATAAAATAACTGATGTTAACAGTAATGGTTTCATATAAGAACTCATTACATATATTACAGACCTACATGATTTACGACATTCCAAAAAGAAAAGGCCTAAAGCTGTTTGAGACATCTACTAAAATAAAAACTAATGGCTTATTTTCAGAAATTTTTTTTTTTTGAGACGGAGTCTTGCTCTGTTGCCCAGACTAGAGTGCAGTGGCACAGTCTCAGCTCACTGTAATTTCCACTTCCTGGGTTCAAGTGATTCTCCTGCCTCAGCCTCCCGAGTAGCTGGGATTACAGGTATGCACTACCATGCCCAGCTAATTTTTATATTTTCAGTAGAGTTGGGGTTTCACCATATTGGCTAGACTGGTCTTGAACTCCTGACCTCATGATCCATCCCCCTCAGCTTCCCAAAGTGTTGGGATTATAGGCGTGAGCCACCACACCTGGCCTATTTTCAGAATTTTAAAATTATGCATTAGTTAGTAACTTACATTCTACAATATACCTGTCTAACTCTCAATTTTTTTTTTTTTTTGAGACAGGGTCTTGTTCTACTGCCCAGGCCGGAGTGCTGTGGTGTAACCAATGGCTCACTGCAGCATCATCCATCCCACCTCGGCTCAAGCGATCTGAACTCAAGTAATCATCCATCCCACCTTGGCTTTCCGAAGTGCTGTGATTTACAAGGGTAAGTAAGACACTATACCTAGCCAACTCTCAAATTTTAAATGCAAAAATTTGACACTACATAATTCATTAATCTTTATGTTAGCACTTTAAAGGGACATTCAAAAGCTGAATTATGATAACCATTTTAAAGGTTGTAATATGGAGATTTTAATTTATCACCAGGTTAAATACAAAAGGTAGTGATGACAGTAAAGAATTAACTGTTAGCAATGGCATGCTTTTTAAAGGCAGAAATCCAAAATCTAATAATACAACATCAATCTAAGAGGTTTTAATTTACATTTTCAGACTTGTTACCTGTATAAGCATACTGTATCAAGGACCACAATGAATTCGGTTCTACACCTTCCATTTTTATTTCTTCTTGTCTCGCTTCCCTGACATCATTAGTAAACATGGCAGCAAAATAGTCTGAGACAGAGGAGAGCACCAATCTGAGAACACATTAGGAAAAAAAAAAATCAATGACCACATTCAAGTTGATGTTCATTAATAAATGCTGCTGCTGCTTCTTTTTTGTTTGTTACTCAGAGGGCATGGTACTAGGAAATGCATTTTAAGCTTGACAAATTGCTTTATGCTCTACTTCCTTCCTTTGAATAATAAATTATCATTACCAAACTATCTGCTGAGGTGAATGCTTTACCAGCTTACTACTCAAATAATGCTTTATAACATCCAGAAAACAAGCTACAAGCCCATAACATCAAATCAACTATATAAAGAAAAAAATGTAAAAGTTATTGTTTGTGGGTGGCGGGGAGGGGAGGATCCAAGATGGCTGAATAGGAACAGCTCTGGATTGCAGTTCCCAGCAAAAACGCAGAGGATGAGTAATCGTCACATTTCCAAACGAATTTTTACTGCCTACAGACCAGGAGATTCCAGAGCGGAAAAGCGCCACAAGTCTCCAGCATGGCTGTTTCAGCCAGTGCAGCAGGTCTCCGCACAAAAACTCACACAAATCCAGGCACCATTTCAACTGGCAACTGGAACTGGGAGACAGTCACCTGTTCAACTGAAAAAAAGGGGGCTGAAACAGAGAGTCAGGTGATCTGGCTTGGCTGGTCCCACCCACACAAAGACCAGCAATCTGAAATGCTCTGGATTGACAGTTTCAGCAAGCACACCTGGACCCAGGATGCTCCAGCTCTGTGGGGGGAAGGGCATCTGCCATTACCCAGGCAATCTGCCACTACTAAGGCAGTCCGCCATTACCGAGGCAGTCCGCCATTACCGAGGCAGTCCGCCATTACTGAGGCAGACCACCATTACCGAGGCAGTTCTAACTACACCCCTATAAACAAAACTACAGGGAAGTTCACACATCAGCTGGGCAGAGCCCATGGCAGCTCAGCAATACTTCTGCTGGCAGACTGTGACTAGGCTACCTCCTTACTGGGCAGGGCATCTCTGAAAAAAGGCAGCAGAATGATAGGAACTTATAAATAAAGCCCCACCTACCCAGGACAGAGCACCTGGGAAAAAAAAGGAGTTTATGAGTTCCACTGCAGCAGACTTAAACCTACCTGCCCAGGAGCTCTGAACAGAACAATGGAGCTCACAGCTCAGCACCTGAGCTCCTATAAGGGGCAGACTGTCTCCTCAAGCAGCTCCCCAATTCCTGTATATCCAAAGAGACACCTTATAAAGGAGAGCTCAGGCTGACATCTGGCAGGTATCCTTCCTGGACAAAGATAACAGAAGAAGAAACTGGCAGCAACCCTTACTCTTCTGAAGCCGCTGCAGGTGATCCCCAGGCAAGCAGGGTCTGGAGTGGACCTCCAGCAGTCCTACAGGAGAGGGGCCTGACTGTAAGAAGGAAGACTAAGAAACAGAAAGAAATAACTTCATAAGCAACAAAAAGGATGTCCACTCAGAGACCCCATCTGAAAGTCATCAACCACAAAGACCACATGTAGATAAATCCAAAAAGATGGGAAGAAACCAGTGCAAAAAGGATGAAAATACCCAAAACCAGAATGACTCTCCTCCTCCAAGGGATCACAACTCCTCATCAGCAAGGGAACAAAGCTGGATGGAGAATGAGTCTGACGAATGGACCAAAACAGGCTTCAGAAGGTGGATAATAACAAACTTCTCTGAGCTAACAGATCATGTTCTAACCCAATGCAAAGAAACTAAGAACCTTGAAAACAGGTTTGACGAAATGCTAACGAGAATAAACAGCTTAGAGAGGAATATAAATGAATTGATGGAGCTGAAAAACCCAGCATGAGAACTCTGCGAAGCATATACAAGTTTCGATAGCTGAACTGACCAAGCAGAAGAAAGGATATCAGAGATTGAAGATCAACTCAATGAAATAAAATGAGAAGGCAAGATTAGAGAAAAAAAAGAAATGAACAAAGCCTCCAGGAAATATGGGATTATGTGAAAAGACCTAATCTACATTTGATAGGTGTACCTAAGTGTGACAGAGAGAATGAATCCAAGCTGGAAAACACTCTTCAGAATATTAACCAGGAGAACTTCCCCAACCTAGCAAGTCAGGCCAACATTCAAGTCCAGGAAATATAGAGACCACCACAAAGATATTCCTCAAGAAAAGCAACCCCAAGGCACATAATCGTCAGATACACCAGGGTTGAAATGAAGGAAAAAATGCTAAGGGCAGCCAGAGAGAAAGGTTGGGTTACCCACAAAGGGAAGCCCATCAGACTCACAGGATGATTCAGTAGAAACCCTACAAGCCAGAAGAGATTTTTCAGTAAAGAACTTTCAACCTAGAATTTCATATCCAGCCAAACTAAGCTTCATAAACAAAGGAGAAATAAAATCCCTTATGAACAAGCGATTGCTCAGAGATTTCATCACCACCAGGCCTGCCTTACAAGATCTCCTGAAAGAAGCACTAAACATAGAAAGGAACAACCAGTACCAGCCACTCCAAAATCGCACCAAATGGTATAAAGAGCATTGACACAATGAAGAAACTGTGTCAACTAATGGGCAAAACCAACCAGCTAGCTTCAAAATGGCAGGAGCAAATTCACACATAACAACATTAACCTTAAATGTCAATAAGCTAAATGCCCAATCAAGACACAGACTGGCATTTTGGATAAAAAGTCAAAACCCATTGGGGTGCTGTATCCAGGAAACCCATCTCACATGCAAGGATACACATAGGCTCAAAATAAAGGGATGGAGGAAGATCTACCAAGCAAATGGGGAGCAAAAAAAAGCCAAAGTTGCAATCCTAGTCTCTGATAAAACAGACTTTAAACCAACAAAGATCAAAAGAGACAAATAAGGGCATTACATAATGGTAAAAGGATCAATGCAACCAGAAGAGCTAACAATCCTAATTATATACACACCCAATACAGGAGCACCCAGATACATAAAGCAAGTTCTTAATAACCTACAAAGAAACTTAGACTCCCACATAATAATAGTGGGAGACTTTAACACTGCACTGTCAATATTAGATCAACAAGACAGAAAATTAATAAGGATATCTGGGACCTGAACTCAGACCTGGACCAAGCAAACCTAATAGACATTTACAGAACTCTCCACCCCAAATCCACAGAATATACATACTTCCCAGCACCACATCACACCTACTCTAAAACTGACCACATAATTGGAAGTAATCACTCCTCAGCAAATGCAAAAGAATGGAAATCATAACAAACAGTCTCTCAGACCACAGTGCAATCAAATCAGAACTCAGAATTCAGAAACTCACTCAGAACCGCACAACTTCATGGAAACTGAACAACAGGCTCTTGAATGTTGACTGGATAAACAGTGAAATAAAGGCAGACATAAAGATGTTCTTCAAAACCAACAAGAACAAAGACACAATGTACCAGAATCTCTGGGACACATTTAAAGCAGTATCTAGAGGAAAATTTATAGCAATAAATGCCCACATGAGAAGCAAGAAAAGATCTAAATTTGACACCCTATCATCAAAATTAAAAGGGCTAGAGAAGTAAGATCAAAAAAACTCAAAAGCTAGCAAAAGACAAGAAGTAACTAAGATCAGAGCAGAACTGAAGGAGACAGAGACACAAAAAGACCTTCAAAAAAATCAATAAATCCAGGAGCTGGTTTTTTGAAAAGATCAACAAAATAGACTGCTAGCCAGATTATTAAAAAAGAAAAGAGACAATAATCAAATAGATGCAATAAAAAACGATAGAGGGGATATCACCACAGATTCCACAGAAATGCAAACCCCCATAAGAGATTACTACAAACAATGATATGCACATAAACCAGTAAACCTGGAAGAAAGGGATAAATTCCTGGATACTTACACCCTCCAAGCCCAAACCAGTAAGAAGTCAAAACCCTGAATAGGCAAATAACAAGGGCTGAAGTTGAGGCAGCAATTAATAGCTTACCAACCAAAAAAGGCCCAGGTCCAGATGGGTTCACAGCTAAATTCTACCAGACATACAAAGAGGAGCTGGTACCTCTCCTTCTGAAACTATTCCAAACAATACAAAGAGGGAATCCTCCCCAAATCATTTTGAGACCAACATCATCCTGATACCAAAACCCAGCAGAGATGCAACAAGAAAAGAAAACTTCAGGCCAATATCCATGGTGAACACAGATGAAAAATCTTCAATAAAATACTGGCAAACCAATTGCAACAGCTCATCAAAAAGCTTATCCATCAAGATCAAGTGGGCTTCATCCCAGGGATGCAAGGCTGGTTCAACACATGCAAGTTTATAAATGTAATTCACCACATAAACAGAACCAAAGACAAAAACGACATGATTATCTCAATAGATGCAGAGAAAGCCTTCAACAAAATTCAACAGCCCATTTGCTAAAAACTCTCAATAACCTAGGTATCAGTGGAACATATCTCAAAATAATAAAAGCTATTTACAACAAACTCATAGCCAATTATCATACTGAATGGGCAAAAATTGGAAGCATTCCCTATGAAATCTGGCGCTAGACAAGGATGCCCTCTCTCACCACTCCTATTCAATATAGTATTGGAAGTTCTGGCCAGAGCAATCAGGCAAGAAAAAGAAATAAAGGGTATTCAATTAGGAAAGGAGGAAGTCAAATGGTCTCTATTTGCAGACAACATGATTGCATATTTAGAAGACCCTATCATCTCAGCCCCAAATCTCCTGAAACTGATAAGCAACTTCAGCAGTCTCAGGATACAAAATCAATGTGCAAAAATCACAAGCATTCCTATACACCAATAACAGACTGAAAGAGAGCCAAATCAAGAATGAACTGCCATTCTCAACTGCTACAAAGAGAATAAAATACCTAGGAATACAACTAACAAAGAATGTAAAGGACCTCTTCAAGGAGAACTACAAACCACTGCTCTCAATGAAATAAGAGAGGACAAAAACAGATGGAGAATCACTCCATGCTCATGGTTAGGAAGAATCAATATCCTGAAAATAGCCATACT